TGCATATGATGGATATTAAAGTGTAGAGGACAAAACTACCAACATTTTAAGGGGTCAATTGTCACTGTATGTCCATTCCTTGCAAAATTATTCAATTTTATATTTCCCCTACCCCATAATTAGCATCTGTCGCTCCACCACGAGTGCCCATATACAAGTGGCAATTTCTACCATTAAGCTGTGAGTCTCGGCTTGCTTCATGGTTTTTTTTTTCATCTATGGGCATAGGCCTTTCAAAAAAATATAGTGAGGATTTGCCACCCCAGGTGGTACCAATTGATGAAATTTGGGGGTCTGGCTCATGGACTATGTAGCTCACCACAAAAAAGGACACAAATAAGTGAGTAAGAAGAAGTCAGTTTTAATTGAGCAACCATCGACGTACATTATAGAAACTATTGCCATCTGTATATCGCAATAATAATTTATAAACCAAAATGAATTTTTTTTTTGACCGTAGAGGGCGCTATACCCGCTTTGTATCGATGGCGTTTGAAATAAATAGGTTATGCTGCGTTCCGACATGTTCTGTAAAACTTTACTCTAATATAGACGTTTTAACGGCAGGGTGGAGAGGAAATACCAATTTTGCATTAAAGATATTGTCAATGAAATCTTGTAAAACGAACCAGACGAGTGTGACACCACACTGTTTGTCTATATAATATGCTATATAATTGCCAAACCCTACCTAATTTGCATAATATTTTTTTAAATATCAAAACCCCTAGCCCTTATTCATTGACATACCAAAAATGAACAAAATCCGTTGAACCTGAACTGACTAATGGCAATTCCCATTTTTGCCAAAAAATTGCCGTGGCTCGAAAGTACGTCGGGGTACGTCGTCGTCGAAAGTACGTAAATATGGGAGCATAGCAGTAACAACTATACCCATTTCAAACATGTGGGTGAAACGGTTCCTGAGTTATCGTTGACCGTAGCGAAATGTTGACGGACGGACGGACGGACGTACGACGGACGACGACCCATGGCAATAGCTCAGCTTGCCGATGTGAAGGTGAGCTAAAAATGAAACAATACTGAGACGGTGGATGGTGGCAGGTCCAGAAACAGCTAGACTATTAATGAAGTATGATGACAAACATTCAATGAAAAAGAATGACACAGAACGCCACCATGAACCAATAAGTCTGCAGTAGACTTACTTGATACCTATTAGATAATGTCCGATAGTGTGGTAGATACTATAAGGTCCGCAGAAGACATAGACAAAGCACAGTACCAGAAATTTGTTGCGGAGCATATAGTCGGCAGTCCAACCCCAGGAAATATGCTTCAAAAAACTTTTGATGGCATTTTTTGTTAAAAGCTGGCAACCAGGCTAGAAAGTATCACTATGATCCAGGCTTTCAGAATCACCCGGTTGCCAAAATGGCATTTGACCTTGAAGGTCAAATTGGGGGGTCAAAAGGTCAAATGAGGTCAAATTTTTTATATTTTTTATTTTGTCTTGTACTTTCATATAACATTGATTTTTTAATCGAATATAGGGTGCACCTGCATTATCCCCTACCATGCAGATGAACACCTTGATTTCCATTCAAATACATAAGTTGGTCAAGGGTTATGGTTAGGGTTAGGGTACTTTTTTGTGTCTTACTACTCGTGGTAGGGGATAATGCAGTTGTTCCCAAATCCCCTTTATTTACAATTCTGAAAATGGCCCAATATTATTAATGTTATCCATTTAATTTTTTACAGGTTCCAGCAAAATAGGACTGGTAGTGCAGTACCCACAACTGGTAGACGGCATAGTGTGAAGAAAAATGCTCGTGGACGACCAGTAAAAATGTACACTTTGAAAGTGACTGTGTTGAATGTAGACTATACAAAGAGACCGTCCTCGTGGAAGGTGCTGAAGTTGCTTGATAGTGTAGGCTTGGGTAAGAAAAACAGAAAGAACTGTGCAGTGTCGTGAATCCAGACCCTGTTCATTCTTATGGTTCTTGGTATTCATACATTAACCTATATAATACTTGAAAAGTGGCCATAAAAAGTGTAACTCCGCTTTTTACTTGAAAGGTTCTTAATTCTTCATCACATATATCAGACTTTTTTTTTATTTGACCTAGTTTTAAACCATTTTCTAGGTCAAATGATGTAAAATCTGGCGATTGTTGAAAAGGGCAGTCAGTAGGTTTCTGTACTATTTGACCAAGATGGTTGAAACTTTGTGGGCATGTAATGTATCTGGGCAAGAGTAACTTAAAATCTTGCCCAAAATGAATGCAATCTGTTTCAATCAAAGGTTTGCCACCAGGGCCAGGCCCAGGGGGCTTTTTGTGAAAAAAGTGGAACATTTCCATAAGTTCAATTCCATTTGAATTAGGACGCTCAATTGTTTACGGAAGGTTCTTTAATGACTCTTCATCACGTATGTGACTTTTTAAATTTGTTCTAGTTTTAACCATTTACTTTGACTTTGTTTCTGCAGGAAATCTCGGTAAACTGCTGGTGCCATCAAATCTGATTGAACCGGAGTTTGTTCAATTTCTGGAGCGGAAATGTCCAGCTTTGAGTGGAAGGGGCCCCCTGACCTTTAAGCAGGCCAAAGTCAAAGGGGATTTGTTAGACATTGATTGCCGGAAGACACCAATGGACTTGAAGAAATTGCTCGGAAAGTCCACGCTGTATGTTGTACCAGCAGTCATGATAGTCATGGTAAGGATATTAGCTATTTAACATTCTAAAAATAAAAAATATATTATTAGATTCACAAAATTCATCCAAACATTCCAAAGCTGACGTGATTGCGGAACCAGTGTGCAGGGCTGCCTTCATTATTATTCATAGCTGATAGTTTACATAGCGCTAGTGCATTTATGTCATGTAGGCCTATGTGCTCTACACTATAGTGCTAAGCTATTACTGCTACCATCAACAAATAGACTTTTCCTACAGAGCACTCATCATTGGCTGGGAGTCTGGAGTGGGATTTATGAAAAGTGGGATCAATACAGAATTTTAGCACCCAAAAACAAAATTAGATGCTGATTGGTGAAGACCGTTACAAATTGGTTGAAAACAATGCCTTGCGTTTTTACAATGTATTTTTACAAGATTTTTTTATTCTAGCCCCAACAGCAAAATCAACGAGAAGTGAGTGCTGCAGAGGGAAGAGTAAGTAAATAAAGTTTTTCAAATTTTCTATTTGGTTCCCACACATGCAATATACGAAGCATCACATTCCAGGAGTTGGATTACATGAGGATCAGTACACCTGTTATTTTTTACTGTAACTTTGGCACACTAACCCTGCAAGTTATGTTAGATTTGTGCCAGGTGGTTAAATGTAAAAAGATTAAGAGTGGTTAATTGTGTTTGCTTTATTATGAGCAGCAAGTCCCAGGTTCTAGTCGAGGCCAGGCCATTTGTGATTTAACTGTCCATCACATGCATTATGCCTTGTGTCACTGGCAACTATAAGAGCTTTGAGGCCTTCTTTTGAAGACCATGTCAGTGCACTGTCAATTGTAAGTTCAGTTAATGTAATCTATTGTTGCCTTCACTTTCAGGCACCTTCTTCTTCACACTCACAGGCCACAGAACCATATCGTCCTATAAATAACCAACAAACAGCTGCTGCTACACATGTGATTGTGAGTATACAATATGCTATGTGATTGCAATTTTGTTCTGCAATCTGGTCATTCTGAGCATTTAAAAAGTGTCTAGGACAATTTGACCCTGGACAACCCCCTCCCTCCCCCCCGCCCCAATTTATGTTTATTCTAGCCCCAACAACAAAATCAAGAAGTGAGTAATCCAAGACCATGGGCGATATTGGGCTAAATTCCCCTATGGTGCTCTTTATCTCCTGGTGTCCGGACACAGACCCTCAAGAGGTAAGTCAGTGTTTGTTTTTAGTAGTTTATATGTTTTATGTATTAGAAATTTGGGATACTTGTTTTGGCAGACGCTTCAAAAATTTGAAAGTTGATTGATTTGCCAGTGCCTGACACAATCCCTTCTGAGAGTGTTTAAGCCTGCTATACTGCATTTCCTTTTGTCATGTCATGCCTACCTCCTGACCAACTTGCCTAACAACAGTCACACCTATCTCCTTTCCAAATACAAACCGGACACTGTGCAATATTACAGAATTCTAATTTTATTTTAGGATGAGGAATCTGATTCTAACTTTACACCAGCTGGGACCCCTACAGTAAGTAGTCCTTAGTCATGCAAATAACTATTTTTATGAATAATTCTTTGCCCAATTTCAGTATTCACTTGCGTTGTTACGCAGTTTGTGTCCCTTTATACTATGTTGGTCGAAAGTGTTTCTTTTTGTTGGGCTATATTGATGTATAAGGCATTGTTCAAGCATGTAGGCATATTAAGCTGATTCAATGTCAATTATTCTATTTAGATATTATTTCGTCGACCCAATCATATTGCTGCTACCCAGGCCAGAACTACAATTGCTGAAGTAGCTGGGGAGTTGATGGCAAGTACCACTTTGCTTTCCTAATAAATACTCACATGCTTTGGGGTTGCAACAAGGCATGACGAAAAATGTTTGATACATATATATTCTTCTCTGAATCAATGTACATGTTCCACATAAATGAAGGATGCTAAGTTTTCCAGGATAGAATATTCTCTGGAGAAAGACCTTCTATTGATAGCTCATTCATGGACTCTAGCTTATTCTAGAGAGCTATTGAATCATGACAGTTGATGTACCAGTATATCTACATTACATTTGTGTACATTGCAATTTCAGAGTCAACCAGTTAATGCAGCCCAACTAGATCCCCGTCCTGAAACAGTAAGTGTGTTTTTTGTCTCAAACGATTGTACATGTTCCACATAAATGAAGGATGCTAAGTTTTCCAGGATATAATATTATCTGGAGAAAGACCTTCTATTGATAGCTCATTCATGGACTCTAGCTTATTCTAGAGAGACTATTCTATGCGCTTCACACCATTACCCCCAGCAACTGGTTGTTCTGACTGTTCTTTCTGTATCCGACTCAAACTCCCTGGGGAGCATACAGCCGAGCTGCTCATTCAGCGCTACAGGCTAGCTACACAACCACACATACCACCGCCAGGTACCCCTTTTACACCTGGGTGAGGTGAGGCAATTGCCCAAAGTCTCACGCCGACGACGGGATTCGAACCCAGGACCTTCTGATCGCACTTCAGAGACCCAAACCATTACACCACCGTGGCTCCACATTACATTTGAACATTGTTTAATGTTTAATGATCTCTAGATCAATTTAGTAAGGGCGTATTCCCCAGATGTAAAAAACGAAATCATTTTATCTTGATTATTTCTTTTCTTGTACATAACATCACGAAAGATTTTTGACTTACATGTATTTTACTTGTGTAGGTTGATGACAGTGGTGATGACTTTGTCAGTTTGCCAGTTATGCAGGTATGTTCACATGGTTTTCCTCATAAATGATACTCTTGTCAATATGTCAAGTGACTCTTGTACATGTACTTGTACACATTTTTTCCTGTCCAATTGGCCTTTATCAGGGTGTTCTATTTACTTTTCCTACAGTATTCCCTTGAAATGCTGAGGCTGGTGTAAAATGTTATTTAAATGATCGCCCTGTGACCTTTGACTATGCTTTACATGTGGTTAATCTATTTTTGTATAGAGACGTCCTCGACGACGAGGGAATGTGCCTAGGAATCTTGCTTCCACTTCACAAGATTCGCCTGAGGTATTTTCAATAAAGAGTAAATCACCCAAATTATGATGTCACATAGAGAACACCTGTCCTCTTCTCTACTTGAAGAGCAGTTAAAACAAAGGCTGTCAAGATGACTTTTATGCACACAAAAAGTAAAATCTCTGCAAGTAGGGCAATGGTCTAACTGTGGATCAACATTTTATGACAATTCCACAAATAGAACATCCCATGCTGCGTCACAACTCAGAACAAAGGAATAGTGTTTCAACTGCTCTTCATGTAGCCCGACTGCAAGATGTTCTCTGTGTGACGTCATAATTTGGGAGATTCGGAGGGCTGCTCTGGCCAATCTGTTGGGTCAAATGAAAAAAGAATGGCACCAGTTTAATAATAGTCTGTAATAAATAGATGTGCCCTAAAATGAAAGAAAAATGAATTTTTTAAAATTAGTTGTCAGTTCCCCTTTAAAGGGGCACTAATTGTATCACACTATTGTTTTACAATGATGACGATAATGTTTTATGATCTTGTTTTACAACTTGTAAGGTGCAACGATTATATCTATGAGTTGTGCCATACAAATACCGTTTAGTTATTATTATTATTATTATTATTATCTTCAAATGGGCCTTATTTAACGACCTGAGGCCGATACAAAGCTGTCATTTAAAGTCATATCAGCTGTAGTAGTCTGATTTCATTCAGTAATTTCGTGACTGCTCGCCAATGTTTTGTGTAGTTTGTTTTCACCCATCACAATAATTAACCATCAACTCTCTTGATTACAGAGCCCTAGGTCTCCAACCCCACCACCTCCATATACACCAGCACCCCAACAACACGCTGAACCATTGATGCTTGCACCACCCTTGCCAGAAATTAGTATTGATGGAGATTGGTACTGGCGTGTATCATTGTGCCCCTCAATTATTATTTAAACTTGCAGTTTATTATGTCACCAGTCTATTAATGTTGTCCCAACAGATGTAACCCTGACATGACGTAGCATCAGATGATGAATATTAATTACTTATTATTTGCTATGAAAAATACTTTGTAGACAACATCATGAGGATATTCTTTATTCATGATTTCAGGATCATTCACGTGAGAAGGCCCTTCATTGTGGAGGATATGCTGAAGGTTTTCCGGAATAATGTCACTGGAATGGTAAAAGTGGATATTGCCGGGGAGAATGCTGTGGACTCGGGAGGAGTTTTCAGGGATGTGCTTTCCGAGTTCTGGGAGAAGTGCTTCCAGAAACATTTTGAAGGAGAAGATGAATGCGTTCTTGTGCCTTCCCCTCAGTTGTCTCCTGATGACTTCAGCACCATCGGAAAAATACTACTTGTTGGATATGAGCAACAAGGTTTTTTTCCAATTCGTTTTTCAAGAGTTCTATTGATTTGTGCCATGTTCAGCAGAGATTTGGTCAGTAATGATTTGCTGCTAGAGTCATTTTTTAGAACTCTCTCTAATTTTGAGAGGGACTCCTTGGAGAATGCGTTGTTGCTCGTGAACCTAGAGGGAGATATCCTCGATGATATCATTGACATTCTCTCCAGGTTCAGGGTAACAACCATTCCCAAGTGTAGAGAGAGTCTTCGCCTTTGTTTGGTGCGTGTCGCTGAGATACAGCTCATTGAGAACCACGCCTTCAGTTTGCAGCAGATGCTTCCACATATGGAAAAACTGAAATTATTCAGTGATTTCCAAACAGTGAGTGCCATTTTAGCACTGTACATTAGGCTAAAGCCTACAGGAAGAAAAGTCACCAATATATTGAAGGCAGCTCCCAAGAATGTTACTGAGCAGAGGGTTCTTGACTTTTTAAAGAGGTTTATCAGAAGCATGTCAGACGATTTGCTGACTGCTTTTTTGCGTTATTGCACTGGTAGCAATGTTCTGCATGTTGACGCCATAGAGGTCAGTTTTGTCCATCTAAGTGGGCTTGGGCGACGTTTTGTGGCCCACACATGTGGTGCTCTGTTAGAAGTGCCAGTCTCCTATTCATCATTTAATGAATTTGCAGGAGAATTCCGAACTCAGTTGTTAGGTGGCCAGTGGGACATGCAGATTTTGTAATTGTAGACGTCCATATATCATATTTTACTAGGTCAAATGGTGTGCCAATTGTTGAAAAGAGCGACAGGTTTCTGTACTAATTGGCTTGAAACATGGTGTGGGCATGTAAAGGCCTTAATACACTGAATGACAAATGTTGAAATGTGTCGTCACAATAGTTTATTCGATAAAGACTTGGATCACTGTTAATGGTTGAAAATGTTCAAATAAGCAAATGAAGTTTACTTTCAAGTCAATTCAACATGTTCCTAGGTCACTTCTCTTAAGATTTGATGGCGAAGAAAAGTTTAGTTTGAACAAAGCTTTGAATGATTATGGTGGAATGTGATTTCGTTCAATTTCCTCAACATTAGCAACACTCTCATGGCCCAAGTCTTATTGAACGAACTGTTGTGACTACACATTTCAACATTTGTCATTCAGTGTATGAAGGCCTTTAGGGTAACTTGCACACCAAAAATGGAAGAGAAATGTGACTACTAAAGTAGTTTCATCCAACGTTTCCTGTTGATTTAAACTGGTGCTGTTTAGGCCCAAAAAAGGAATTTGTTTCTGGTTTCATGGTCCACTGAAAATCTATGTGGTGATGCGTTTTGTTTTTCTTATTTATGGAGATCTCCAAAAAGGGAAAAGTCCACATTGCCAACTTCATCCTCATCAATCATGTTTCATGACCAACTTGTTTATACTAGGTTATAACAAGTGCCCAGCTAATGCCACCAAAGCATATAATATTATGATATTAAGGTCATATTATTTGGTCAGCAAATGGAAAGTGCAGGCCTAGATGATGTGTGGGTTGAGTCTGCAATATTTGGACAGAATGCTGCCAAGTCAATGATGGATGGGAAACATTATTACAGGGCTATTCAGGGACATATCTGGGCCTATGAAGCACTTAGTCGGATCAAGTTTGAAGCTTTCTTGGATTGGATACAACAGCAAAATCCTGAACTCCATCAGGAACTGGTTGTGCATCCATCAGCAGTATCAGCATTGTTCAAGAAAAATGGTACGAGAACCCGAGAACCCGAATGCCTGTTGAATGCTGTGGCTGAATTCAACGAACTCCTCGACCGTACAGAATATGTAGAGAAAACTGACGAATTCAACACCATGCTGAAGCAGAATCCCAACAATGCCTTCTGGTTGAAGTACCTTGAGATGGTGGAAATACTCTTCGCATTCGTCCGCGCTAATCGAGATGGTGATTGGTTGCTCCATCTTGATTCGTTTGCCGCAATGTTACCTTGGCTGACCATATATGATCATGTCAACTATGCAAGATGGGGTCCTGTTTACCTCGCTGACATGAAAGGACTCGCGCAGACCGCACCAGAAGTCCACGAAGAATTCCTGGCAAGGAATTTCGTAGTGAAACGACACGCATGGAGATTTAACCAAGTTCCAGTAGATCAAGCCACTGAATGGGTTAACAAGGTATGCAAGCTCTCAAATGGTATAATTGGCATCACTCGGAATGACACGGCAAGGGACAGGTTCTGCACAACTTGGTCTGAAAGGTCACAGATATCAGATGACACCCTGCATCTATTCAGTCTTCGCAAATCACCACCCCCACCATTGCCACCAATTCCGCCCAGATCATCTACAAATGGCAGATCCACAGTAAGGTACGAACACACATGCATTTAATGTGATGTAGTGTACGCTGGGTTGCACGCTGGTTCTTGCGTGTGGACGTACATGTATTCTATGCAGAAATCATGGAATTTTCTGGCCAAAAAGTAAAGCGCAAAGACATTGTCGAAAGCGACAACGATAAAGGAGAGGCAAAATCTAGAGACAAAGAAAGTGGTATAAAAAATCTCTGGAGATGGGATTGGCTGGAGACAGAAGTAGAGGATGCAGATTCTAAAAATACTATCTCGCAGATGTGATACGCAAATTGGAATCTCCAGGAAAATGTTACTGTATCGTGTGTGACACGGAAATTAAGTACTCAATATAAGGGCTGCCCTCCGGGACCACTGACAGAAGAGCATCAGGCACAGGGACCAAATAAAGTTAGTCAATTCTAACTATAGGCTAGATTTTCAGCCAAGAACAGGTGACCAATATTTTGAATGCTTTCATAAATAAATATAAATTTTCATAATTGGCATTTTTAATTTTATGATCATCAGATATTTATCAGATCAGATCCATGGTAGGGTGTGTCTGTTTTCCACATTGCCAGTGTACCTAGGAATTGTGTGTACCAGTCATGAGAACACATGCATATTTAGGATACTCATCTAGTCTAGACATGATTTAGATCTATATAATTATCATGAGTGTAATCTGAAAATTTGTTCAAAATCTCATAAAACGCTTCTCTATTTGTTGATTTATTGACAAATTCAGTTTAAATTTGGTATACAGAACATAAATGCATATTATTTCCAGACCTGTACAACAAAAGTGCAATTTTGGACCATTTTGGACGCTGTCCATATTTTTTGTAGCGTTTGATTTCTTTTTAGCTATGCTATTTCATGAATAGATTCTTTGATAGAAGCTTGTGAAGAGTAGATTATGTATGAAGTGATTTTTTTCCTGTTACAGCTGAACCTGGAACCTCGGACTCAACCACCAACGTAACACCATATGGAATTCATCCAATGTATATAGGCCACCCTGTAGCTGGTCCAGCTAATGTTCCTCATCCCTACACATCAGTCAGGGAAAGAAGGACAAACCAAGAAGCTACTATCCTTGGGTTTATTGCTGAAGAAAATTTACCATATGCTAGTTCTCCAAAACTGGTCGAACTTACACAAAAGCTTGCCAAAGATAAGAAAACACTTGAAACAGTTTCTCTTTCGAGGACAGCTGCATCGTATAAGACGCATCATGGGTTAACCAAGACATTCCAAGATGAACTCGTACATGGCCTAAAAAACACATTTCAGCTTGAATATCGATGAGGCCACAAACAACAACAAGATGAGAGTTTTGTCAGTATTAGTAAGCTACTACAATAATTCTCGACAAGAAGTTGTTCACGCCATCTGAAATCAATTAACTTAGTACATGTCAATGCTCAATCCTTGTATGATGCTATTGTAGACATGTTTGATGAGTTTGGGTTACCTTGGACAAACTTGCTTTCAATTCTGATGGACAGTTGTGCAGTAAAGCGGGGATCGAAGTCAGGACTTGAAACCTGCATTCGCGCTAATAAGGCACCACCTCATCTCTTGAATGTAGATGGTGATTCATGCCACCATGCCCATAATGCTGCCAAGAAACTTTATGGTCAGTTTGGTTATCATTTGGAGGGCCTCATCAAGAACATACACATAGACTTCATGTGGTCAGCAGACCTCAGGGAATCTCTTCAAGAAATCTGCCAGATTTTGAACATTAAATACACTCGACCAATGGACTACATTGCACATCGCTGGCTGAGCGTGTATGATACAGGAAATGACATCAGCCGCATGTTTCCTGCTCTAACTTTGTTCTACTATGACGGCTTGTCAGAGCAAGATCGGAAATTGTACTATTCTACCGTGTCAGCAATCTACCAACAATATGGCTTGAGTAAACAGGCACGTCATCAGGTAATACAGATCCGCAATCGTTGCACAAACAAATCAGGCATGGCAAAGGAAGGGAAAGAAAGAAAGAAAAGAATAGTCGACAAGCTGTTCATCTTCCGAAAGAAGACAAAACTACATCTGTCATTCTATATGTCTGTGTTGCCTCTCCTACACAAATATGTCAAGACATTTGAGATGACAGAACCGCTCATCTACAAGCATAATGACAACGAAGTGGAACTTTTGAATGATGTTCTAGTTAGCTTTCTGAAACCGGAAGTGATTCCAGAAGCGAAAATCCTCAGTACTCTGGACGTCTCGCAGCCATCCTCGTGCACCAGCACGACCACGCCACGTAGTGGCCGCCAATACAACTAACCTGCACTTCCAGAACACTTAACGAGTAGCTGTATCGAGTTTGCCTCCCAGTTTTGGGTATAGGGGATAACGATCTGTAAATCGTCGACCGAGAGTTCTGTTCATAGCACGAGGGTTTTGAGTAGCCACGAAGATGGGGCACGGCTCGAAATACCCCCATAACTTTTTTGGCTAATGTGCGCGCGTCCTATAGCCGTCAAAAACGGAATTTAAACGTTTTCTGTCGAGACACGCCTACGGCAACTGTCAATCACCGACACGTGCTCGCCACGCCGTGCGTGGACGTGATAGGCCAGCTCTGTTGCTGTTCTTTACCCGTAGTTTAAACCGGCCAGGCTGAGCCGTCTACATAGTACACGTTTGAAACATAGTCTACGGATCGAAGCCATTCTACATGAATTCACATAAAGGTTTCCACACGGGATTCACACGGGTTTCTACAGGATTCAAATACGATCGAAGCCATTCTATGGCCCGTAGCAACGTGCCCCACGTTCTTACGATGTACGACCCGTTTGAAACATAGTCTACGAATCGAAGCCATTCTACACGATTCACATACAGGTTTCGACACGGGATTCACTGCACGCCTGAGAAGATCGACGACGGCAGTCGACGTATATAACCACCGCCAGGGGTTGACTCACTCCCCGCCCCCCACATCTCGTCTCGCTCCCCCGTGTGTCCTGCGCCGGTCGCTCATCATATCATGCATTTTGGAACCATTCTACGATGATGAAGTCGCTCGCATTCGCCTGTATACAAGGTAAACGTCACGTATTGACCATATAATCTGCTATATATTATATAATGACCAGGGGCCCGTTGTCAGAAACATCGTAAACCGCGCACGATCGCGTCACTGGCGCCCATAGATTACTGCATAACGATACGAATTATCCGTCACTTCGTTTGGAAGTTTTAATAATTTTTTTTCATTGTAATATGCCTTACGAGTATATAGATAGCCTTTCTGTAGCTATAATTATGACATTATGTCAGATACATATGCACTGCAAATATAAAATATACGCACGCACGCACACGCACACGCACCCGCAGTGACACACTCGGACGAACACGCACACGTACACACAAACACGCACGCACACGCACACGCGCATGCACGCACACGCACTTACATGCACACGCACACGCACACGTACACACAGGGACACACTCACACGCACACGCACTCGCACACACAGTAACACATTCACACGCACACGCACACACAAGGACACACAAACACGCACTCGCGCGCACCGGCCTCGGCTATGGCCCGTAGCAACGTGCCCCACATGAGTCTAGGACATATGCCGCAATAATATTCTGTTATATTATTATCAATATATTATCAATATCGCTGAGGTGCCGAATGGCGGGAACTAGTCTACTGGTGGATTGCAGCGGCCGTATCGAAAACGCGGAAAGCCCGGAAAATACTAGTACACATTTGATATTTTGTGGATAGTTTGGCAATCAAATTTCACAAAATTCAAATGTTTTCAATCAAATATCACACGAATGCGAAACTATCCACAAAATATCAAATGTGTATTTCGTATGCACAGCCCAGGTGTCGAGATGCCAATCGATTCCATTTCCCGATTCCTCATTTTCATGCCAACCACCCCGAGTCAAACCAAAACAATAGGACAATATGGCCAACGCGGTTCGCGCTGTCCAGATGCCTGCTGGTCTTTTGAATCAAGCATGAATAACTTCGTTATTCCTACTCCTAACCCGCTGAAACTCGCACATTGTATTTAAAAACATAATATACATCATATACAGTCATTATTTACACCCATAAACTGTTTAAAAAATAGTTTAAATCATTTTCCGGGCTTTCCGCGTTTTCGATACGGCCGATTGCAGCCTGTAGTTTCGCAAAATAACACCATGCGGCGCCGTATCGTCTGCTTAAAAATGCTTGACGGGAAAATAAAAATTTATTGATGTACAGGAGTTTGAGTTGACGCAGGCGCTATTAAACCAGAAACAAATCACTTGTTTTTTTGGCCGTGTGGTGCAATTGTATTCTATAGTTGTGTTGCTCGCAATCGATAGTTCATAATGTGTACATAATGTTATTTTTGTTTCTGTTAAATGTGAATGAATATTTTATCTTTCTTCCTCCTGCTGGTCACATTAATACATGGTGCTGTTACAGTGTTTTCTTTAGAAGAGTACGGGTCAAAGTGGGAGAATAGCAATAATGCAATGTTTGTCATAAAATGCATCGGTGATAATATGTATTAAAATAACTAAAAAATAAGCCATGGAATGACTTATGTGACCTAGTACAGCAAAATGAGTTGCAGTGACAAGAAAATTATTTGTTTGTAAAATCTTTTTATACATGACGTTATAAGCTTCAAAATGATGTAAGGATCTCCTTTCTATCTTGAATATTGATAACAGCCATGTTTCTGTAGTATGTAATGCATTTTCTGTTGCATTACTATTCTAATGCATTTTATCATAAAAGTTTCCTGGCAAATTCCGACTCATTTTGCTGTGCTGGGTCACGTATTGCAGAATTTTTCTAAAATTGTTTTTTGTGGCCATGAGTGTACATAGAGAAAACTTTATATTTGTATTCATTTATTGTACAGCATGACAGTATTCCTTTTGAGTTTTGTACCATTGTGAAGCATTTTATTTCGGCTCCATGGTGATATGTGGAATGTTTACATTATAATCAAATTACATGAAAAGTATATGTTTTTCATCATCAAAGATTTTGTGAAAAATTGGCAGAATCAGAATCATAATATTCTGTGGTATTTGCTCATTGTACACTTGATTGCTTCAGAACTGTTTGTACGAGGCATACACATACCAAGAAGAAATGTATTTCCGCAGAATAAATGTATTTCACCTGTATTTTTGTGGCAAAAATCAATAATGTTCTTCATAATTCTCTTGCGCTCAGCCACACCCCTTGATCAACAAGACATCGCTTGTTCATCAGGGAGCAGGCAGGTGGTGTAACGGTGCTGTAAATACAGTGTACGAACGAAGACCTGATGAAACTGGCTCATGGCAGAAATTGAAAATGAGGTTAGGGGTATTAACCGTATATTCAGTCGTCGGCCCAGAGTTCGGGCTGAAAGAGTTAATACTTTAAAAGCCAGCAAAGAATACAATCTGGCAAATTGACAATACTGTTTAAGTTCCGTCAAGAGCATGCATAATTACAGGTTCATGTTCTCTGAAATAAAATCTAGTACACCCAGATAGTGAGATAAACCCATGTCTGCGGCTTCAATATTGGACAATGGGTCAATATGTTCCTTTAATGTATCCAAAGCATTTTCTGAGAGTAAACCCACTGTATCTGGGATGGTCACAATGACAACAGCAATGTCTAATTCAGACACTCTGTCTGAGTCTGAACTGTTGTCCCTGGCATGTATGGTGTCGGGTAAAGACTCGGCATCACTAGTATTCTCTGCAGATGAGGATGGATGATTGCCAGCAAATATTCCTCTTGTGGCAGTGTTGGCTGAATTATACAGTTGAAGCGAACCTTCTACAAATAGTTGTACAGGTGACATATTTTCTGTGCGCAATTTATGGTGATTCCACTGCTTCACAAAGGTATCAATAGCATGCTGAATCCTTGGCAAGAAAATGTAATGCAGTGCATACAGCTGTTCTTCACTATTGGGGTTCAACAGATTATCTCGCTCAAATGCAGTGAAAAGATCATAATAGGTGTTGGTAGCACCATCCCACAAGTCACGCCACAGCCTTTCAATACGTTGATTGTGGACACTTTTGCCACAAATGGCACTACCTCTTCCTGTCCCTCGGTTCTCCTCCATAAAGGAACGCACCAGCTGGTTCTCGCCTCCATAATCACAGCGTATCCTAGAAGGAATGCCATACTGATCGACAGCCTCCTTGAAATTGGTCTGTACTGTTGTGGCCCGATTGTTCGTAGATGCTTTCATAAATGTGATTAATCGAGAATATCCATCAACTGCACCATGAATGACAATGCGCCACCTGCAAAATGATAAACAGTAGAATACAGTAACTAAACTGTTTTAAAGTTATTTATTTAATTGGTAGAAATGTTCTTCTGCAATAATAAAAAGCAGAAAAGCTGCACAAATAATGTATGGGCAACTGAAGTGGGACACTGCTTGAAGTTCCCAAGCACTCATATATGGACAAACTTGCAGCTTGGAAGAATTAGATGATAAAATGATAATTTTAATTTTTGAATGAATATTTTAAAAATTATATTTTGTAACATAACGCACATCAGCATCAGGGCTTGATTTTTTTATCTAAAAACTAACTGGTAGAAGTGGCACAGCATTGTGTGTAAAAGGGCACTTTTGGGAAAGCAAACTTTTTTATTGAAAATATAGCTGTATTATTGCCTCTGCCATTACATGTAGAGGTATACCATAACATTAATAACACAAATTTGTTTTGTCAAATCCGAGTCAATGATTTGTGAACTTTGGTTGAGCTCATAGGGAATGACCCTTACCTAAATATATGTCGAAAGGCACATGGAGTGAGTGTCCCAGAAAATTAGTACTTGAATTAAAATTAATCTTGTACAGTAAACTCATACAGTAAACTGGACTGTCATGTGACTGTGTTTTCGATTTTGCAACTAACCTGATAAGCTTGTGATTCCCATCCAGATGCCAAAGTGAATTTGGCGCTTCGACTGCATATGTTCTCCGTTTAATGGCCTTCTGGGAACGAAGTGCCACACCAGCCGGATCCACTCGCCACATTGCATGTCGGACACGTTCCCTCAGCACATGGATACCAGCGTTTTCTAGGCGTACAAGCATTGAGTTGGCACCAAGGCGTCGGTTATGCTGAAGAAATCTCTTAACATTGTCATCTAATTCAGCATCTGACATCTGAGAGAAGTCTTCTGTCAATTTTAATTTGAACTCACTGAAATAATAAGTAATCTGAATTCAGAATAATACTTTCCAACTGAGTTTACACTCTAGTCATTGCCTCTAGATTAAATGACATCTGCATTTCTCGAAAATGCTTTGGAGGTCTTATGACATGATCAATTATTGGAGTATAGAGCTATCTAGCATAAAAACAAAATAAGGAGAAATCTTGACATTTGAAAAAAATGACGTTAAGCAAGTCAATGCGATATACCAGCACTGACACCGTCACTGTTCCATCACCTGAAATGGATTGCAGGGCAGAAATTAGAAATCATGAAGGCCACAGAGACCAGTACGTGGCCATTGGGGCCTTCCCAACTGACCTCAGTGTTCTAATGAATTTGAGTTGCAGCAGCTACTTTTCTCAAATTAGATCTATCCTCGAATTGTAGTTATACCTTCATCATTCTCCTCTTGACGGTCTTTGTTGACACATTCAACATTTCGCCCATCTTCTTCATGCTGAATCTACAAGCAATCAAGAGCTCTAATTGTCCTTTGGATACGACATACTTCGATGCCCCTTTTCTGTTAGCTGTTGCAACACGTTCACATCTGTAACCTCTAGGCAGTCCATCACCTGTAAGTGTAATCAATGACATTTAACATAATATTTGTTTCATATAAAAAAAGCGGCTAGAGCGGAATGCCATTTTAGGCTACAGCGGAATGAACAATTCTAAACAGAGAGTACCAACTGACTGAGTCGAGTATAGCCCATCCAAGCCATACTGTTTTGTCTCCTTCTCAATTTTCTATATGCACTAGAACCAACACGTAAAAACTGCAAATTATTAGTTTGATAGATCATCTAGACTCCTTGCGAAAGTCAGACATTACGACCAGAAGGGGTAAACAAACCTCGGTTCCAAGCCGAAAATGCGACACAAAACCATCCATGTAATATATAATCGATCCTACATTTTGGCCTGGAACCAAGGTTTGTTTAGCCCCTGGCCTTCTTGGCGAAGGCAATGGCCGGCCTAGGCCTACATGTCATAGACATAGAGTAAAACCATGATCATGCCTATACGGCTATAGGCCTACTGCATGATCAGCCTAGCTACTATAAGTCATGCAGGCCTAACGAAAAAGCCAAAACTGGCAAAAGAAGCCTTAGAAGGGCCAACCAATGCAAGGGCCAATGCCTGAAGGGGCATATGACCGCGATATATGACTTATGATGCACTGTGACTGTATACACTTAGGCCAAAGAGCTTAGAATGATAAGAGGTGACACTCGCCAGAAATAGTGTAATTGCCTCAACAGTGCTGCCGCACTGCGGCCGCGTTGATAGGCTATTTGCAGCGATCATGGCTATATGCTGCTAAGAAGACAAAGCAAGGCGGTGCTGCTTGTTCAGCGTACTTGTGTTATAATCGGCGCTACACCTCACTA